CTTCCCTGTGTCCTTCCCTCCTATGCACTCCTGCCCCCTGAGCTGTCTCCCTGTGCATACACAGCCCTACTATTCTCCCATGATTGTTCTCTCCCAGGAGTGTATCTACCTAATGTAAATGGTCAGCTCATATGTCTATCTTTTGTTTGGTTATCCCATATAAACAGTTCTTAAAGAGCATAATGCTCAAGGCAGACATTCTTTACTACTTAAATTAAACTATTGTTTGGATTAAAGACTTCAGGGGATATTTTTGTTTTAAAATTTAAAGCTTATCATAGGGTGATAGTTTCAGGGATTCACCATATCGTCATGGATCCAAGAAGTCTAGACTTCATGCAAATTTGAAATTCTGTTCTATGTATTCCCCCTTTTGGTCAGGATTTTGCTATGTGATCTTTGACCAAAGTGTTCAGTAGTAGTAGCCTGGCACCATCCAGTTCTTCTTGTCTCATGGAGGCAATTTGCCACATAATTGTCATCCTCCTATTCCTCACTCCTCTTCTTTCTCTGTTGTATGATTTATTTATTTATCTATTTTTTGAGCATGCATCTGTGAATACAACTATTTAGAATTATGTATCTAAGTATAAACATTCTAGCCAAGAAAATTTCAGATCATTTCTATCTATTCATTAAGCTTGTACTTGGAAAAATCATCTAGAAATGCTTTTTAGTCTTATTTGTGTTTCTCTGTGAACTTGAAAATCATAAGTTCTTAAAATATTTCTTAATATATTTTGAATATATTAATTTTCTTAATATATTTTCTTAAAATATTTTGAATAATTCAGACTTTTCATTAATTTCAGTAGTTGTAATGAACTGATGAAGTTTTATTTCATTTAAATACTTGTTAGTTGTCGTCAAGTGGATTTCAACTCACAATGACGCCACGTGTAGAACTGCTCCATGAGGTTATCTTGATTGTAGTCTTAAATGGGTGCAGATTGCCAGACGTTTTGTTCTGCACAACCACTGGGTGGACTCAAATCACTGACATTTTTAGGTTAGCAGTCGAGAACAAATTGTACCACTGGTCAAAATTTCATAGCTACTAGCAGGACATAGGGCAGTCTGGTAGCATAGTGGCTAAGACACTTGCCTGCTAACCAGACGGCTGGCGGTTCAAACCCACCAGCCACTCCTCGGAAGGAAGGTTGGGCAATCCTACTTCCGTAGTGATACTGCCTCGGAAACCCAAGGAGGGGTCGCTATGAGTTGGGTTTGACTCGATGGCACATAACAACAACAACAACAACAGCGGTGGTGTTGTGGTGGCACAACATTAAAGCAGCTTAGCTGAGCTCCACTGCTAACTTAAAGGTTGGCAGTTCAAAAACATCCAGCAGTTCTGTGGGAGAAATACCTGGAAATCTCCTGTAAAGATTACAGCCTAGAAAACCCTATGGAGCAATTTACTCTGTGATACATGGTGTTGCTCTGAGTCAGAATCTACTTGACTGCACCTAACAAAAGTAGCAGCAGGAAATAATGAGGCAAAAGCAAGGATGGTTTTTACCTTTCTTTGTAAAATGAAAGACTTTGATGTCACTGTGAGGAAAAGGAAATGAGAAAAGTTTACAGAATCTAAAATCTACAATGACACATGATAGTATAAAATATTTCCACCTAAAGAGGATAAAGGAGCTCTGGTAGTGTAGTGCCCAAGCACTTGACTGCTTACCAGAAAGTGGTTCAAACCCACCAGCCACTCCTTGGAAGGAAGGTTGGGCAATCTTCTTCCGTAGTGATGCCACCTCAGAAACTCAGGGAGGGGTTGCTTTGAGTTGTGTCTGACTCCATGGCACATAACAACAACAACAAAGAGGATAAGCATAAAAGTTGGCAAACCCCTTGAGGTCTATAACTTTTAAACTCTTCCAAAAGTAAAATTGACTTGGTTAGGTAGTGTTTTCTTTTCCACCTTCATCTTCTACCATTACAACCTGATTCAGTCATTAGATTTTCTACTAGAGCCAGACAGAAATTGAGTAGGGGTAAGGAGTGGTATATATAAAATACTTGTTGACACCATTTGCTTTTCCCAACATTTTGTTAATCTACTTAAAATCTAGGTAACATGCCTTGCATGCAACCAGGCCTGCTTCAGAGCCTGTCATTTCATAGTTACACATACAAGTATTGGGCTCCTCTTTTCCTTATGACCACTGAGGCATGTCCACAGACACCTGGAGACTGAAGGGTCATGGTTTGAAGCTCCAAACCAGTAAATTTGGACATTTTTCAGGTCTCTTGGGAGACTTAACCAGTTGCCAGTTGGTCTGGAGTCAATTCTGGGAGACTTAATCAGTTATTAGTTGCTGTGGAGTTGATTCTCACTCATGGTGACACCATGTGTGTCAGAAGCATGTTCCGTTGGGTTTTCAATGGCTGATTTTTCAGAAGTAGATAACCAGGCCTTTCTTCTGAGGCTCCCCTGGGTGAACTTGAACCTCTAGCCTTTCAGTTAGCAGCTGAGTGCATTAACTGTAACACGGCAGTGGTAGTTTTCCAGTTCACTGTGCTGACAGTTATTCAAGAGTCCCACTTAGAGAGTACCAGTCAGCCAGGGTGGTACTTTTCCCTCTGTTTTAATAGGAGTATAATAACAACTAATTTCACTTTCCCTTGGTTATTAAGGAGCTCTGGTGGCTTAGTGCCTAAGGCATTTGACTGCTAACCAGAAGGCTGGTGGTTCAAACCCACCAGCTATTCCTTGGAAGGAAGATTGGGCAATCTACCTGGGAAACCCAAGGAGGGGTTGCTATGAGCAGTGAGTTTTTGGTTGTTTTTTTTTGGTTTGTTGCTTATTAAATATGTTCACGCAAATTTTCTTATTTAGTACTAAAGCAAAGTGATATTTTCTATTTACTGATCAGGACATTACAAATTAAAAAGATTAAGTAAATTTCTTAAAAGTCACCCAGATAATAATAAGTAACAAGGCCAGGATTTGAATTCAAGCTCATGCCTTCTACCAAACTCAGAATTTTATAGAAGTATTTGCAATAATTGGTCAGTTAGCTTTTTAAGTTTTCATGACTTGAAACCATTTAGGCTGTGAGTATATTATGATAATTGCATTATAAAATGGGTATTGCCTAAATTAAAAGAAGAAAATCTGTTGTGCATTTTTGTTCTGTTTCTAAGAATAAATTGTTACCCAAAGTTACCTAAGGAAGATATTCAAAGCTTGTCTTGTGATTAGGTTCATTGTCTTGGTCATTCTGTTTATCATTTTTAGGGATATTTTTTACATTTTTATTGTTTGTAACTGATGTTATTCAACCAACATTTATTATTGTGCTTATATTATGACTTAAAGCATTGGCTCAAAATTATTATCCAAATTTGGCTGGGCAAATGAGCATTTGCCTAATTGACCTTATATATATACATTTATGTGCTTGCATATAACAGACTTCCCTTAGACTCAGCCAGGAGGGGCTTCTGCTCTCTGCCCTGTTTTAGCAAGTCCCGTTCTGGCTCTCCTCTAAGTCAGTTCTCCACACAGGCTTCCTTTCCCTTCTCAACCTTATTCTAGGTCTCTGGGGCCATGGAATTCACTGTTTAAAAGGCATTCAACATGCATCAAGGGCCTGTATTAGTCTCTTCCCTTATCTTTTCTTCTGAGGGCTAACCATGTCACCAGTGTGCATACCTCTGACATTACTAGGTGGCAAAATGACAGATATTTGTGCGGGAAATGGATGACATCTGCATCTGTGTACTGGGATACCCATACACATGTGTGTGAGACCCTTAATGATAAAGGATAAACCCTATTGAGGAGAGAAAAAGGGGCAAAGAGAAGACAGTTTGACTATGATGGAATGTTTTGATATAAAGGTATATTTATCAAGAAATTTAAGCTTGTTTACAACAGTAATTTATGGCATTAGAATATTCAGACATGTGGTATGTGGGCCTCCGTTTGTACTCTTACTTTGAACTCTGTAATGTTAGAGGTGGAGAGTAAGTATATAATGTATTTACTGTCAAAGGTTGCCACATCTAACAAGTGTTAGTTTCAGGTATAAATAATTTAAAGCAATAGTTTATTTTCCTTTGTTTTCTTCTTTTCCATGAAGTGTTTCCACAACTCTACTTTCACATGTTACGTCAAAGAAGAAAGGTGCTTCATGGAGAGGTGATTGTCGAAAAGGATGATTAAATGATCCCTACAAACAAGGTGCTTTTTCCAGAATAACCAGGATTACTTGAGTCCAAGTTTAATAACAAGAATAAACAACTTCATGAAATATCATGGATTGTATTATTTCTTAAAATATAACTTGAAACAGGTGGTATTTGCTACTATTTGTCTTCACATTATGCCAGATCCATTTTCTATATGAACTACACAAATATGATCAACTCCTGAGTGGGTATTAAGAAAATAATTGGGTGTATTACCTTTAAAAAAAAAAAAACTTTTAAAAATTTTGCTCTGTTTTTTTTTTTTTGGCAATGTATGCTCAAAACTTTTTAAATCAATATTTAGAAATTAGTTTAATGGTTTAACATTATGATGCTTTCCAGTGGCATTTATTTGATATTTATAAATGAAAGTAAATACAAAATTAGAATAACTTGTTAATAATGTATCAGTATTTCTTGAGCCCAGGATTGATTTTTTGTAAGTTATGTGGCAGTGTTTATGATTAATAAGAATTTTGGAAGCATGAACATAATTTGCTATGATTAGAATTTTTATATAAAGTAGTAGCATAAAAATATTCAAATAGATGTCACAGTTGGAATGTATTCTTTGAAAATATCTGTTGAAATTATTTATACCACTGCATAAATTATTTTTATTTGAATTAACCACTCAAGGACAATCTTTTCAACTTTAAGTACTTTAAGTGGTTAGAAAGAATATAAATATATACTTGTCCCCACTGTGAAAAATACCATGGAGTTCGATCATAATGTTATACTCAGAACCCTGGTTGAGAAAGACTGCTCTGTACTGTGGAACCCTCTTATAAAAGTCATGTTATAACAATCCCTTTGTGGTATTTAGGTAACTAACAGTTTTAGGGTGTGATCTGAAATAGATTCATTTTATTCTGAATTCCATTATATAGCTAAAAGTCTTATAATAAAGCTCCTAAAGTTCTTGTCTACATGTTTAATTAAAAATACACTGAATATCCTTTAATACTGTCATACGAGGTCCATTAAAAACTTTACCCCTCTAATAAGGTACGTTGATTGACCCAGTTTAGAGAGACTATTAAATAAGTGCCTTTAAAAGGAAAAGAACCTTCTGCCTGCTATAGAGATATATGGGAGTAATTTTGTCTAAATGTTCTGTATTGTTTACATTTGCAATCAACAGGTAATAATACATTTTTCAAAAATCATTCGTTTTATGTTACCACCTCCTTTTCAATTTTTTTTCACGTAGAGATTTGTAGTGCAGAATGTTTTTGCAAACTATTTTAATAACTATTTTTAAAAGGTGCTGTTTCTTTTATTATATTACATTTGAATATTTCCTCTGTAGCTGAATGTTTTAATAAGTAAGATGTATTAGGTTACTAATTCTGAAAATGCTGCTGTTCATTCTGCTCTTATACTATTTCATCAGCTTTTCATTTTGAATTTTTATATGGAAGAAATGTTTAGGAAGTTGTTTGATAGCACAGTATAAGAAGTTTATTGATCTTCTTGGATGTCTTGTGAAAAAATTTTAAATCCTATTCCTAAAATTTGAAATAACTTAACTTGTATTCTGTTCAACAAGCTGTGATATTCTTTTTTCCCCCCTTAAGCTGCAGAATATCTTGAAGTAAGAATTGTGATTAACTTTAATAAAAATAAAAAATGTTTCAATGACCTATATTGATATACTGAAAGTACTTTTAAACTTTAGATTTAGTTTATCTTCTATATCTTTTACATTCAACCAGTTGAAAACTGTCATTCGTGTAGAAAATAAGTTTGATTTTAAAAATGAAGTATTTGAAATTCTTTTACCCTGGTTGCATGTGACTCATGTTTTGGATTTCACCTTAGGGTCACCATGACTTCCCTTTTAAAAGGCAAGTTAGGGTTTGAATCAACTAGAGCTTGATTCATATTCAGTCCTATGGAATTTTTTATTTGAAAAATATACCAAGAAATTTTAATACTAGCAACTTTAAATTGTATTGGGTGGCATTCTTTCAAATTTTGGTTTCTTTTTCATAGATGTAGAATTTGATGTATAATTTATAAGTCTTTTCTTCACATAGCAGCAATGTCCCTGATAGTTATAACTAAAATAAAAAAAGCATGCCAAAATAAATATAAGAAAGTTATTTTTGGATAACCAAACTATGGTACATATACACAATGGAATACAATGAACATTAAAGAATAATGAATCAGTGAATCACGTTATAATGTGGATGAACTTGGAGGACATTATACTGAGTGAAATAAGTCAGTCACAGAAGACAAATATTGTATGAGTCCATTATTGTAAAAAATTAAGGAAAGGTTTATGCAGCAAAGAAAATTTTCTTTCTTGGTTACCAGGGAGGGGAATAGAAGGGAAGGGTGGGAAAATAGATGGATAATTAAGAGAGAGGATTGATATGGGTGAAAGGAAAAGCAATATAACAAACGCATTTGACTAGCACAATATCACTAAGGAAATAGAAGACACAGTGGTGCACAAGAAGTACAGGCAATAAAGGCAAATACTATTGTATACACAACACTGCATTATCAGTAACAGCAAATGTTAATCTACAGGTAGATACCTAGAGAGGTATGGATAGACAAATGGGAGTATATCCATTACCATACATAGGTTTGGCAGACTATATTCCTACATATGTATTTGTATGTGTAAAAATGTCCACATGCAGTTTAAACATAACAAGAGGCAAAGTTAGGGTAACTTCTTAGCCACAAATAAGCACGTTGAGGGAGTGGTGCCTGGGCCTGCAGGCTGAGTACCATGGTCATGGGGGGACATCAAGCTCATTTGGCACCACAAGGTATACAAAAATATTGTTCTACGTCTTCGGTGGGTAGTGACTGGATTCTTAAAAGGTTGTGAGTGGCCATCTAAGTGTGCAACTATTGGTCTTTCCTCATATGGAGCAAAGAAGAGTGAAGGGAATCAAAGATGCATGGAAACAGTCCAAAGGTCTAATGGACCCATGAGAACCTCAACTTATAAGACCCTGAGACCTGAAGAACTAGATGGTGCCCAGCTACCAATGCCAATGACTCAGAAAGGGATAAAAATTGGAGATCCTGTATAGACTGGGAGAAAAATGTGGAACAAAACTCAAAATCATAAAAAAGACCAGGCTTACTGGTCTGACAGAGACTGATAAAACCCCAAAGACTATAACCTGAAGTCATCCTTCAGGCCTAGAATTGAACTCATTCAGGTTTAACTATCAGCCAAATGATAAACAGACCCACGAGCTGAATGCCTACACCAGGGAGATGCACTTCTTAGAATAATCAACCATGGGAGATCAGAAGGGCAGCATTTGCATAGGGAGAAAGATAGGGAGGCAGGAATGCATAGGCAAAAAGGACCCAGGAAAAGGGTAACCACAGGGAGGAAGTGGGAGGTGAGATGTTACACTGTAGGAAATGTAACCAGTGCCAGAAGAAAAAAAGTTATTTTCAGCAAAAGATTTTATTATTTAATATCTGCCGATTCTCAGAAGCATTATTTTCACTGCTGTAGTTTATTAAGCATCTAATTTTTATGCTTCCTTTATCTGTATCTGGTAATATATTGCAGTGATAGAGAATCTTGCTATAACCCTCTTCCCAGAAATCTTTATTTTGTGCGGGTTGTGTGCCAGGGGCTGTTTACATCTTCCTCCTATTTTAACTCCAAGAGAGTTTACATCTCTTCCTCCTATTTTATCTCTCTCCACCCTACACAGTAAACTGGTGGCACAATTACTACATTAGACGGCTAGTAAATAATTGCAAAATAGTTATCTGTGCTCTAACAAAATATAGTTCACTGGCAGTCTGATATGGCAAAGTTTTTGGTTACATGTACACAGCATATCAGGACACCACTAAATAAGACAAAATTGTGGTTTAATAATACTTTAAAATGAAGTCAGAATCAATTGTAGATTATGAAACTTTGACAAAACAGACAATGTTGAAAGAAAAAGTAATTGTGAAAAGCATTATTTAAAATATCTTTCAAATTAACATGCAAAATGTAGAAGCATTTTCCTTTCTGGAATACGCATATAATTGATAGAATAAGAAATAAAGGCAACAAAGTTTTATGGATTCTATGAAGGCATTGAATGGAATTTAAAATTCAGTTTGTTTATATGTAATCTAAATTTACCAAATATTTTTAATAGACGTAAATCATTGCTCTAGATATGAAGTTAAAAACATTTTTAAATTTTTAGGTATTTTAATGTTCCTGTGATAGCTTTCTAAACCACTTTTGTTGCTTTTTAAAAAAAGTAATTTCAAACATACAGGTGAGTAGAGAGAATGATAAAGTCTTCACTTGAATTTCCTACTAATTAATATTTCACCACATGTATGTGCTTTATATATATATATTCATAAAATTTTGTGAACCATTTGAAAGTAAGCTAAGACATTAACTCCTAATTTTGTCAATGTGTATTTCCTAAGAAAAAGGACATAGGCACAGTACAATTAACAAAATCAGGAAATTACACTAATAGTACTGTCAAATTTACAGATTTTATTCAAATGTCACCAATTTGTGTGTGTGCACGTATGTTCTGGGTTAAGATCCAATTCAGGGGCAGGCATTATATTACCATCTCTTTTTAGTTTCTTTTAGAGGCGGGGCAAGATGGCGGACTAGGCAGAAGGATTGCACAGACCC